TAACCACATTGGTGGTTAACTCCATGGACCATTTTCTTCTAATATGCTATTCCTACACCTCTTGCATTGATTACCCACCATAAAAGGAGAAGTAAATGATGAACTTCCTTTATGCTCCAGACGTATCTTTCACCCCTGTGAAGGGGGGAGGCGGGTCAGGGAGGGATTAATCACTAGTAGCTTCAGCCTGTTTATCTTCAGTTAAAAAGTAGGGCTAAAAAGAAATCTATCTAGTTTGAGCTAATCATTGCCATTTAAAAATTATTTAAGCAAGTGGGGATAGCTCAGGGGTAGAGCATTTGATTGCAAAAATTATTTGATTGGTCTTTTTAATTTTTTTCTCCAGAATAGTCTTCCAGTGGGAAGGGTAAATTCTTGGCTATCTGACGTGAACCATTAGATGTATGGAATGGCTTATATACAGGAGACCCTGTCCATCCCTTGACACCCACCCCATTCCTGTTCTTCCCAGGAAGATTTTTGGTAGCAAAGAATTCCTTTAAATTATTTATCATTCAACATTGGAAATAACTGAAAAGATTACTTAATTTGTAGGTTTATTATACAGGTGGTTTCTGATTGTTGACATCTGTAAAAATCAAAACTGTATGAAGAATGAAAGTTGATAGCCCTAATTTTAAAAAAGGAGAATTATTAGAAGTGACAGAAGTATCAACAGGTGAGTTGTCTGTGAGAAGACAATGTTAGGAGGCTTGAAAGGCATTCACAGGGACAGTAGTCCCATAACGTGCTAATAGACCTCTATAGCCATATATAGAATGCCACTGTACAAAAATGCTTTTTAAAACTACAGGAATGCAAGGACAAGTGAAATGGTTTAGGATCAATTCTCTTGATAATTCATTTGTACAAAATGAAGAGGTTTCATCTGAGCAAAAACACAAATTTTACTTTTCACTCTTTACATGTGAGTGTAATGTACCTGTAAAAAGAAGAAAGGAAGAAGTCAAAGAAGGGTTCTGAAAAATGGCTATGAAAAAAGTCTTGCTTGATATGAATGAGTGTGTTGAATTACATTTAATAAACTTGCTTTAAATTACATGCATTAATGCAAACTAACACTTTACAAAGAAAGCACAGTTCCCTGTCTTCCATTTTCAAGTTTGGGGAATGTCACCAGAGACATTTGGCAATTAATTTCAACAAGCTATCTCTATTGGGGTGTAGTCTGTGAGAAAGCGAATTCTCAAAATTGAAAGAACCAAGTGTACCTTGTTCAGATGTCTTTGTTCCCCCACCATCCGCCAAACACAGTTTGATTATGTACGCATAATTATTCAAAAAAATACAAGATGAAATAAGATGAACATTTGTGAAAGAGAGAATACTAGACAGTACTCTGCTGTTTGAAAATAACTGAGTTTGAGTCTTCAAAGAAATGAAATTCAGGGTAGTAAGATTGCCATACCAAAATGTTTCGTAGTTTTTAGCAAGCACCCTGAAATTTTTTGTGCAAAAGTGAAAGTGCTGTCAAAGTACATTATGTATTTTATTTTATTGTGTTCAGGAAAATATCTACCTTTTTTCCAAAGCAGTATTTTTATTTTAATGTTTGCTGAGTATTTAAATCTCCAAAAGATGGTTTCTAGATCATTTCTGGAAATTTTCATAAAAAGAAACTAGTTAGTATGAGAAGGAGATAGAGACAGTGATAAATACCACCACCACCACCACCACCACCACCCCCCCTGCCCCCCAACCCCCAAAAATGCCATTCTGGGACTAGAAACAGCAACATTGGAATTTTAAGTTTTCCTAAGTAGATTTAGTTAGCATTTTTAAGTTAAGAGGTATAATTAATACAATAAAACCAATATCTTAAACTCCACTAAGTATTTTCTCTACCTTTGCATAGTTCTTGTTAGAAATAGCACCTATTCAAATTTAATAAAAGCTTTATATGTTGCATAGAATTCTACCAGTTTATTTGAAGTCAATAAAGATAAGTAGTTTTTTTAGGTTTTAGTAAATGTGTTATGTGAGGAATCACTGCTCATTCTTCCTCAACAGAACTGCATGCTGCTGACAGTTTTCAAAAGCCTGTCCATCTTTTTGATCTTCTCTTCCTTTTGATAGCTGAAGATCAGAAGACCAAATGCAAAATTGACTGTCAGAACTTATCCAGAGGCAAACAAAAAGCATAGGAAAAAGTTAAATTGAGCCAATCGGATGTCAGAGGTTTTGACAACAAACTTAAGCTGCTAACAGGTTTATTCCTGTACTTTTATTTTTATATCTGATTTAAATGCATACATAAATAAAAGTCATTATACTTGCCTGCAGAACTGAGAATGAGACCTGTCAGAAATAGAACAATATTTTAGACAACAGAACAGTTTGTTGTTCAGTAGCTTTCATGTGGAGAGTTTTGCCACAGTTTTAAGTGAAATATTTTATTTTTCAAAATGTGAGCTCATTTAGTGAACTAATTAATATTTAAAGCTGTAAGGTAAGACATTTCAAAGACGTAAATTGATAGAAATATTTGAATTAGTTTCTCTGATAAAGCTAAATGGATTTTCATAGAGCTTTACTGAGCTTTTTAAACAACTTTATTAAATTATAATTAATATGATAAATTGTATATATTTCAAGTGTACAATTTGATGTTTGATTAATGTATATACCTATGAATCCATAAACACAGTCAAGATACAATATACATATTTGTCTCCACCAAAAGTTTCTTCGTGCCCGTCATAATCCTTTCCTCCCCAAGCAGAGGATTCCCCCAAATTACTGCTTTATCTTTCCCAAGGCTTTTTATGTAAAACCCACAAAAACTAGAATTTTACAGAAGCTAAAATATTTAGTGGATGATCTCACAGAAGATACAAATATATCTTTATGTATTGTTTTCATTTCCGTATGTTTAAACTAAAAGCTGTTACTTTAAATTGGATCTTATAGCTCAAGAAATAATGGACACATTTGACCACTTTTGTTTTCTTTGTTCAT